CGCGGCCAGCCCCTTAGCCTCCGCCATCTCCCCGGGGCGGCCACAACATCCGGGCCCGCCGAGAGACGGTCACAATAACACCAACTGCGCAGACGCACCAGGCCGGAAGACCGCCTCTCCCGGCGATGCGCATGCGCAGAGGCTCCGACCGGCGCACGCCGTGGAAAAAGAGGGGACGCTGCGTCAAAGACTGTCACTATGCGCACGCGCAATCTGCAGAATTGAAGCCACGGGATTAAGGAAGTGCCATCTCCAGGGCTCAGTTCTCATTGGAACAGAGAAAGTTCGCGGGAGCTACGGGTGGTTTGGCGCCTGCGTCTTTTCCGCAAGCGAGTCAGCGTGAGCGGCTGCTAAGTGCTTGAGGAGCGATGCCCAGGGAAATCATCACTCTACAGTTAGGCCAGTGCGGCAATCAAAGTGAGCAGACCTCCGGCCCCTCCGTTAGCCACAGCGCGTAGATTCAACGGGATGTCACTGTGGGAGCCTGGACTCCGTCCTTCCCAGAATCGTAGTTCGGCAGAATGCGGGAGTCCCCGGCCGTGTCCAGTTGCCCAACCCCCAAGAGCCCTCCTCTGCCCGATCACTGGGTACCACCCTTTCCTACGAGGCTCCGCCGTCTTATCCCGGGCGCCAGGCGCTCAGGCCCCCAACTACCCCCGCGGAACCTGCCCAAACCAAATACCAATTTCCTCCCCGCCCGCAGTCGGCTTCGAGTTCTGGAAGCAGCTGTGCGCCGAGCATGGCATCAGCCCGGAGGGCATCGTGGAGGAGTTCGCCACCGAGGGCACCGACCGCAAGGACGTCTTCTTCTACCAGGTGCCGGCCCGGACCCGCGAGGCCCAGGGCTGCGGCGGGCAGCGGCTGGGTGCTGGGAACTTCGCCCGGCAGAGAGCGGGGGCAGGCAGGGCCGGGCCCCTCGGTGACGCCCTCCTGGCCTCCCCTGCAGGCGGACGACGAGCACTACATCCCCCGGGCCGTGCTGCTGGACCTGGAGCCGCGCGTGATCCACTCCATCCAGAACTCTGCCTACGCCAAGCTCTACAACCCCGAGAACATCTACCTGTCGGAGCACGGGGGCGGAGCCGGCAACAACTGGGCCAGTGGGTTCTCTCAGGTCATTTGCTGGTCCCTGGCCAGGCCCACGTGCACCGTGTCTTCCTAGAGGGGAGGGAAAGCAGATCAGGGTTGCATCTGTCCTGGAGCACTGTGTGCCAGACCGGCAGCCTGAGTGGTTTAAATATAGTTACTCTTTAAATCTCTAAAAAACCCTAGAAGTGGAGCTTACAGGTTCGCAGTATTATATCTGCCTTTCAAAAATCACTTCTTTAGCAGCAAAACCAAATTTCACTAGAGAGAGTCTATTTTTATCAATTCTATTCAACTTATGATACTTTTCATTGCAGAAATGCTAATGTACTTGATTAACACAACTTAGACCCCCCTCATCAGGTTTTACTGAATATGTTTTGCATACACCAAACTGCCTTTCTAAAATCTGAAATATTTTGAATTCCAAAACATAACTGGCCCCAGGAGTTTTTTATAAGAGACTGTAGACCTGTGTTACTGCTTTCATTGTACAGAGGAAGAAACAAGTATAGAAGAATTAGGAAATCTGGGCCAGGGGATTTAGCTCAGTGGTTCTGCCACCTGCCTTGCAAATGCAAGGACCTGAGTTCGATCCCTGTACCAAAAAAAAAGTAATGGGGGTGCGGGGGGGATTTAGCTCAGAGGTGCCACACCTGCCACGTAAGCCCAAGGTTCGAAGTTCGATCACTGTTACAAAAGAAAAAAGAAATCTGCCCAGAGCCACTTAGTTGTACAGAATGAGCTCTAAGATATGAACCTGGGTCATGTGGGTGTACAGTGCTGGCTTGGGACCATCTTGCCGTTCTGCTTCTTAATGCCCATAAAAGGCAGGGCAGCTGTACACCATAAAAGGGCTTTTAGCTAGTTATGGTGATGTGCTCCTGTCATCCCAGCACTGGGAAGCTGAGGCAGGAGGACTAAAGTTTGAAGCCAGCTTGAGCAACTTAGTGATTTAGACCCTGTTTTAAAATGTAAGGAAGAGGGCCAGGGGTTTACCTGAGTTCTACCACCACCTGCCTCACAAGCACAAGGACCCAAGTTCTATCCCTGGTACCCCCCCAAAAAAAATTAAAGGGCTTAGGTTCAATCTGCTGTGCCACAAAAAGGTAGTCCTTGGTCAGAGTGTTTGTTTCACGGTGCTGTCTCACTCTGACTCTCCTTGTGTCTGCACAGGGAGAGAAGATCCATGAGGACATTTTTGACATCATTGACCGGGAGGCAGATGGGAGCGACAGTCTGGAGGTGCGTTCCGGGCATGCTGATTGGGCCTGGCATAGAAAAGGCCTGGCAACCACTTTCAAAGCCACCTTTAGGCACAAGGCCCACCCTGAGCCTCGGACAGGGGCCACAGGCCTTACTGACCACAAAGCAGTCACCTTATCTGCGTGAGGCAAGAGGAAGGGTGCGGCAAGATGGGAGTCGTGGGCGGGTCTGGTTTGGAGTCCTGCCCGGACAGCGAGACACTGGCTGTACCTCTCCCGCACAGGGCTTCGTGCTGTGCCACTCCATTGCCGGGGGCACGGGCTCTGGCCTGGGCTCCTACCTCCTGGAGCGGCTGAATGACAGGTGAGGGACACTTGGGGGCTGGGGTGAGATGGGAGCTGGCCCCTCCCTTCCCATCGGCGGAAGAGTCCCTCGACCCCCAAGAGTGAAGAAGAGAACTGAACGGGAGAAACCGATCCTGCTCCGGTCTTGGAGCCAGAACCCAGTGTAGACGAGTTCTGAGTTGGAGGCCTAAATTCTGTAGTGTCCCCTGCCCTTTGGGGGTTACAGACTTTCACAAGTCAAGGCTTCCTTTTACTGATCTGTGACCCCAGTCTCTGCATCCAGATACGCGAGGAGCCCTGTGTTCGCCCAGCCTCCAGTCTGTTGCCCTTTTGTTCCCAACTCCACCAGGTACCCCAAGAAGCTGGTGCAGACGTACTCGGTGTTCCCCAACCAGGACGAGATGAGCGACGTGGTGGTGCAGCCCTACAACTCCCTGCTCACGCTCAAGCGGCTGACGCAGAACGCAGACTGCGTGGTGAGGCCCGGGCCCAGCTGTGCCTCCCGACCCCTCTTTACCACCTTCGTGCCTTTAGAAAGTCAAGTTCAACGGGACTGCATGGCACATGGCTGTAATCCTAGCACTTGGGAGGCTGAGGCAGGAAGATCATACGTCTGCACCCAGCCTGGGCTGCACAGCGAGACCCTGCCTCAAAAACATGCAATATAAAAAGGGCTGAGGTTGGAACTCAACTCGCCCTGGGCCTAAAGTCAGTCAGCCTGGGCAGATCCTTTGGGATGGGTCTGGCCGTGAGGCTCACAGCTCCTGGCTCAGGCAGAGCTCTGGATGTCTCTGTCCTGCCACTCTGCTTCTGTCGTCCCCAGGTGGTGCTGGACAACACGGCCCTCAACCGGATCGCCACCGACCGCCTGCACATCCAGAACCCGTCCTTCTCCCAGATCAACCAGCTGGTGAGCCGGCTCCTCGGGCCTGGACCGGGCGGGACCCCCCAGGGAGGCGGGTCCCCCAGACCGGGCCATGACCCCGCGCCCGGCCGCAGGTGTCCACCATCATGTCGGCCAGCACCACCACCCTGCGCTACCCCGGCTACATGAACAACGACCTCATCGGCCTCATCGCCTCTCTCATCCCCACGCCGCGCCTGCACTTCCTCATGACTGGCTACACCCCGCTCACCACGGACCAGTCGGTGAGGCCGCTGCACACCAGCCAGCGTGGGCCGGGCTTGAGGCTCTGATGGGGCGCGTGGGCCCCGGGGGCTCCGCAGACCGC